TAGTGGGCTAGAATGGCCAACTGTAGGGTTAGCAGTCCATGCCACACCAGGACTCCATAGTAAGGTTGATTATAGCTGCAAACAGCTCTGATTCTATTGCCTATTCCCTAAGCAGCTCATTTCCTCCTGGCCGTAGACTTGATGTTGAAGTAGTTTATAAACAAGAGCCACAGAAATAACTGGCATCCTGGAAGTAGGCAGTTTAAACCTAGGACCTAATTTGACAGAAGTTTGGGTGTTTTAGGACTGACCTTTGTGTGAACAATGATGGCAGTCAATTCTTTTCCCTTGCGTCTACCTGTTCCCTTCAGGCAATGCAGACATGTTCATCCTAGTCATCCCCTGTGCCTCTCAGGGGATCTTGTGAGCATTATTACTAAGAAACAATTGCAAGGCACATTGTGAATGCAGGCTGCTATGGAGATGCAACTAAACAAAAATACTAACAACGCTAATGATGACTTCAGTCACTTGGGAACATGTACCATCATTATGGCAGATGACACCTTAGTGCACTGGAGAAGCTATACTTCGTAGGAAAATACTGCTTTGAAAACTTTAACAGGGAGAGAAATTCTAGTTGAAGGCCATAGGTGAATCCATGAAGATATTTAGTTCCTGGGAGCAATGCATAGCACCTCTTTGGTAATCTGGGAAATCACCCTTAGTTCCACCATCAGGGCAACACCCATCTTGTCTTCTGTCCACTCCTTTATTGTCGAGCATTTCCCAAATGTGGTGGTTGAGTTTCTCAAAAAGAATTTGATTTTCTCTAGACAGGTAACCCAGGTTGGGATATCTCTCAACCTCTTTCTTTACTTGACCTCCTAGGACCTGGTTTTTGAAGGAAAAACAGAGTAGGTGAAGTTCAGGGTAGGAAAGGTTCTTACTTTGCCTTTGGGAGTCTGCTTTGTCATGAGGGTGAATCAGAGAGTAATCTTACCTGCGAGACGATCTCTTTCTAGGCTATGGAGTCAAAAATATAGTTGGTGTGGCTCTAATGGAGTCTGTGTTATAGAGGGGTCTGTCCTAGGATGGAGACTTTCAGAATCTTCATGTACCCACTTCTTAACTCTTTGTTGTTGGTAAGTGCTGTGGTGTCGGCCTCAAAAAGCCTACATTGAGTCATTTTTACCAAAATCACTCAGGAAAAATTTACTGTGCACTTATTTTGTGCCAGACATTTTGCTAGGTGCCGGTACCAGCATTTTCTTTTCATGATTCACAAAATTATGTATGCAAGATGAGATGATGAATATTGGCAGCTGATGATAAAGCATATGATGATAACGTTTTTAATTTGAAAACTGCTTTAGACTTCATAAAGAGCTCTCACCTGAATTGCCACACTGGTCGTACACCTGTAAGAGGTAACTATTACTAGACCTTCTTCACAGCTGGGGATCCCTGAAGAAGTTAAGAAACTAACCCAAGGTCATAAACTGGCAAAGTCAGCATTCAAACTCTGGTTTCTGATTCCAAGTCCAATTCTCTCTTTCCTCTGTTTATAGATGTTTGAGTCTCCAATTGTTATCAGGGTATAGGGGGTCCCTGACCCTTCAATAGAAGGTTCTTGCCTTTGCTGACCAAGAATAAGCAGTTTAGAGGAGACAAAAAGGGCTTTTAGGCAAACATAACCACTGTTTCTCCAAACAGAGACTTTGTTGGTATTTAAAATGTTTTAGGTTAAAAAGGGTATGTTTATTCATAGCGGTAATAGGATTTCCCAGAAGCAGCCTGTTTGGGACGGGTCATGCTAATTTGATGTGTATGCAGCATTTCTTCAAGATGGATCACATTCCCAAAGACCTCTGGTAGGAGCAGACAAAACGTATTCTGGGATGTTGAACATGTGTAGTTCTCCCAGGGGTTGATGTTCTCCTCTGCCCCAACAGAAGGCCATCCTTTAAAGTTATGCCTTGCTGTTGTTGTTAAGCGCCGTTGAGTCAGTTCCAACTCATAGCAACCCTGTATAGGGTTTGTGAAGAATGGCTTTGAGTTTGAACCACCCTCCTTGTGGTTCAAACCGACTTTGAGGTTTAGTGCATTATCCCACAGCACCACACCAGGACTTCTAGGGGACTGGATAGACCAATTCTGTCTGTAAAACATTTTAAGGGAGTGAAATACAGATTTTTTTATGGATGGTCTTTCTTAATGGCATGTCTCATCTTACAAGGGAGTAAAATACAGAATCTTATGGGTGGTCTCAGGATGTGGCTGCTTAGCTATGCACCCTGAGCATGTCCTACACATTTTCATGGAGGGACAGAGACCTTAACGTTGTTCAAGGCTTTAGTTATAAGACGTTCTAGTCAATAAGTGGCTCATGTTTAATCCTGATTTCTGGATCCCCTTTTCTCCCTGCCTCATTATCACTGCCAACACTAAGTGACAGGGATGAAGTCTATCATTTTCAGTATCTGTCCTACCTCAGACCCTTGTAAAGATTTGAAAAAAGAGAGAGGGGGAAATAACATTCGAAATCTATCTCTCTTCTCTAATAAAATTTCATTTTGTTCTATGACATACAGGAAAAGGATGAAGCTGATGCTATTGAGTACCTGTTGTTGTTGTTAAGTGCCGTCGAGTGGGTCCCAACTCATAGTCTATATAGGGTTTCCAAGGAGCAGCTGATGGGTTTGAACTACCAACTTGGGGTTTAGATCAATTGTGAGGTCCAGTGCTTATCCTACAGTGCCACACCAAGTCAATAGTGAAATTTGGATGGGAACTTCACTCAGGCTCTTGCCATTGCACCATGAAGATAGGAAATACTTGC